TTACTTATGAAAGGTCTTAAATTTTAGATGACACTTTGACTTAGACATATCTAAAAGCTTTCCAAATTAAAACTATCTAATTAGCGTACGTATTTTTATTTATTTATTATTCTATCTTTGTGGATTTGCTAGTTCACGTGACATTTCGCGTCACTCGCGAGTCGCGGCAGCATAACTGTCTCCTGCACGCGAGAGGAGAGAAGGAGAAGAAAGGTCGTAAATGTCAGTTCAGTTGTAAGTTCATTCTTTATGTGCGTATGGTGTGCGATGTGTATTGTCTATTATGATATTGTAATCATTGTTTTAACAATGTACGAGGCACTGCGAGCTGACATCGCATTTGTCTCGTGCTTTCACTTCGTGATGTGTGCTGTTATGTCCCCAAATTAGTTTTTGTCTTATATTTATATCATATTATGTTATTATATTTGAATATCACATCAGAAAGAGTGCCGTTTTCCCGTGCACGATTCCAAGTGTGATATTTATGTTATACAACTGTTAAATTAACAATAAGTTAACATTGAAACTACTTTTTAGACACAATATTGTTAATATTGTTTGTTTTCCCTTTATTTCGCCGACTATAATTTCAAAATGAAACCGTAGCAGAGTCTCAATGCAACCGACAGCGATTATTTATTGACTGAAATCCGCATTTTGAACGAATCACTTGCTTCTTTCCCGAATGAATCAGCCGTTTGAACGAATCGGTTGAATGAATGACTCCCTCAACTCACTTATTATGACAGTGATTTGCCGCTGCGGTTTCATATTTAAAGTACCCTTTAAATAAAATGTTAAAATTATAAATCATTTCATTTTTAAATATTGAATATTGATTTTAAAATATATATCTCATAGCTTTATTTATGCAGTTGTAAATGGAGTGTAAATATATTAATGCCACTTCTGATGCCGCTTCTGTGTCACCTCTGCACTGCAAAGATGGATTTTGATTGAATGATATAATTTGACTGGTAACAGTGGTACTGTATGATTATTATATAATTAAGTATTATTGTATAATAATTACTGTATAATTTAATTTGAATGATAGCATTTGACATTAAAGGTGATGCATAACTCTAAATAAGTTTAGAAAAAATGTCCATATATAGGTGAAAATGCCCCTGAAAAAATCAATTTAAGGTGGCAAATATTGCCCCTTAATCAAAATATTAATTTCTGCCACTGCTGTGAACCGACCACTGCATAGAATATGAAAAATATGAATATCTTCGTGAGTCAGCAAGACACCAGCACAAAAACACAATCAGTAAAATATCATCTAATTATTATCAACAAAACGTTGAAAATATCAAGATATATTTTGTCAATACTGCACAGCCCTAATGTACGGTATTAATTTTGATTTCTTAAGGTCTTAAAAAGGTCTTAAAAAGCCTTAAATTTGACTTTCAAAAGTGTGCAGGAACCCTGTTTGTCCAAAGAATTGTATTAATTTGTCAATTAATTCTCATGTTGCATTGATAAGGAATTATCACAAACTAAGACTGTTTAGTTGTGCTGTTTTACAATCAATATATAGTGAGTGAATGTAAGTTAAAGTGTCGCCGATGTAATCTTGAAGTCTCTTGAAAGAAGAATGTTGAAAGAGTCTTAAAAAAGGTCTCAAAAGGCATTATATTTAACTCCATGATTCCTGTATACCCTGTATGAGGTTAGCTCGTGGTCCGTGTCTCTGGGTAGAAGAGCTCGTCAACATCAAACATCAGCAGGTCTAAGTTTAGCCAGTGTTATAGCGAGTCTGTTAACTGTTGAGAGAAGTAGGCATGTCATTCACTTACTAACCACTCTTATCCGAGCAGAGAAATGGTGACATGAAAATGCCTTCCGGCCCCCATTTTGAAAGTGGAGCTGTCATCAGCAAACGTTCGCACGGATCAGTGAAATGTGCTTCTGTAGTCCAGCTGTTCACTGTAGTAACATGGGGATCGTTTGACCGCTAATTTTAATTAGAAGAAAGAAGTCACAGGCTTTAAGCTCGTACAGAAAATAAAGTTGCTTCACCTTCAAAACATGTTGTTTGTTCATCAGAACCGAGGTCAAAGCAGGGTTATTATTGTAAACCCAAACTATTCAAAACATTTCTGTTAATTGAAATAAAGCTCAAATAAATTATAAATATTAGTTCACTTCATATAATAGTTCTAAACTTAAATGAAAATTAGAAATGTTGCCTTGGCATTTAACTAAAATAAGTTGAAGCACTAAAATTGTTAACTGGAAATGAAAAGGAAAAAAAACTAAAACTGAAATAAAAATAAATTAAACCTAAATAGTAATATGTAAAAAATAAATAAATAAAAACTAATACAATGACAAAAGCACGTAATGAAATGGCAAAAAAATTGACTAAAATTTACACGAAAACTAAAAATATATATAAAAAAGCTAATTCAAAATATTAATAAAACTATAATAAAATTACTATATTAACCTGTTAAGCTTCAAGCCCATTTTTGAAAAATCCCCAGATATGGCATTCCCAAACTGAAACAGATACAGTTCATGAACCCTTTGTACTAAAAGCACAAGTAAGATCTCATTTGAAAGCTGACACCTGGAAGTTTATTGTAAATGTAGAATTAATTATTGTCATAATGAAAAAAAATAGTTATAAATAGCTTCAAAGTTTTGTAAAGTTATTATACATTTATTTTTATGAAACATCTTCATGAAAATAAAATTGAAGTTGGCATTGTAGCAATCTAGAAATGCACTGCAGCTAAAGCCACATGTCTAACCATGTTATATTTAAAATCTGAAGATGATAAGTCTAAAACTCTGTATTTAGTTCAATGTTTTTCAAGATCATGTCATATGACTTTATTTTGATTAGACTGGTGTTTATTGTCATCTTATAAGCATCTATTCAGTCTATTGCCTCTATTGTTTTGTGATGCAAAAACGAGTCCCATTCAGTCTCAGGCTCCCCTGCACATATTCACACCTCTCCAGCCAGTTTATTGCTCTAAATATGCTTTTCTTTTGTCTGCATTATAATCACTAACGACTAGCAATTCACACTGTTTCAATCCCTCATTTATTTTATAAAAGTTCTCACTTCACAGTGAAACTGTATCAAATGCCCTTTTTGAAAAACGAAACATTTCAGTAAGCATTCTTATTTAGAAAAAAAATCATAAAAATTACATCGAAGTTAGGTAGCAGGTGCTCAGTACTAGCTAGCATGTTAGCTTAGCACACCCTCAATACACGACAATTTATGAGAATAAAACTATGTTTGTGCTCCAACTTACTTTATAGCGCAAGTCGAGTGTTTTAAATAACTTTCTGTAATCTGATTTGGCTTCAGATAAAAAAATCAGATAGAAAATATATTATTTTATTGTATTCTGCACAATTTGAAAGTCTATCTCGATTAGCATTACATTATACATATAATCTATTATTATGAAAATACCTGACATGACTCGAAGAACACAGGTAAATCAAATATCATTGCAATCATGTTTATTGTCTTCAAAACATCTTTATCTGCACTTTACAGCGATCTCGGATAGCTTTGTTTATGAATCACGACTTCCTGAATGTCACATGATTATGGCTCTTCTTCATGTGATCCATATATGGACTTTACTGTGCAACAGCGCCCCAGACTTCAGTATGAATGGATAACACAGTAAATCAGAGTATACAGCGCTCAAAATGATTACATCGACGCATTTGGGTATAAATTCAATAAATATTATTCCTGTCTATAGAAGTCTGATGTAAACCTATGAGAATCTATCAATATTTCTCCAAATCTGCACATGTTTGAGCTAAAAGCCCTGAGGGACGTTGTTTTGTGAATCGCTGTCATGACGATCGCACGGGAGTTTTTTTCTGAATGAGAGCAGCTGACGCTCATAATTCATATTAAAGGTAACGACTCATTTTTTTATTTCATAACTCCTGACACAAATTAAGACATAACTGTCACTATAAGTTTCACAGAATACAATAGTGGTCAAATACTGAAACTTGAGTCTTATATCGTTTTAATGATGTATAGTTTGTCAAGTTAATCACATTAAATATATAGTAACTTTGAACTATTTAAAAAAAAAACGCTTCAGAGCGCCCACGCACTGGTGACGGTTAACAGGTTAAAGCATGTGTGAAAAGAAAACCATTGAAAAACAAATCATGAACATTTGAAAACAAATATGAAGTTAATGTTAAATTTCACAAATGCATAAGAGTTTAAAATCTCAAAAATATCTGGACATTTAACATGAGCATTTTAGTGACAAATTCACTTTTATTTAATTGGAAAAATCATCCAATAACAGTGTTGCGTGCAAACCGGAACATTGCTAAATATTTGTTCATCTCGCGAGGTCAAAGTAAATATTGTATTAGCCGTTTATTTGTCATTTGTTATTTATTTTTATCGAATTGCAGTGATTGCAGCCCTGAAATTCAGGACATTGTGAATGCAGTTTTTAAAACCAACTCGTGAAAATGCTAAATAAATGTTCTCAAATTCACAAACACATAAAAGTTATAAGTGTTTTAACTTTAAACATTTAAAAAATTGCATTAACCAATTCAGTTTTAAGTGAGAAAATGCTAGATGTTGGAGAGGGTTAAAGCTACACTGTAACAATTTTTTTGTCCAAAATTGATATAATGAATGAGCATATTATGAACTCATCTTCCAAACTGTGTTTTTGTCTCATATAGTTCTTGTTCTTTCGCGAGACTCATGCAGTTTTGTTTATTTACCACTAGAGTTACATAGTGTACCTTTAAATATTGCAATAAATATTTTGCAATGTGATGAGGTAATAAATGGCAAGACTGTGTTTGTTTAGATTTGTGTTTTTCTTTGCAGTACCACATCAACAAGCTGTCCATCATGTCTTCAGACAATCACATGAACAACAGCGAGAAGGAGGTGGACGAGGTTGATGCCGCTCTCTCGGACCTGGAGATCACCTTAGAGGGAGGAAAGACGTCCAACACGCTGGTACTGACGCGCAGCAATAGCAGCTTTATTTATACAGCACTGTTAAAACAACACAAGTGCTTTACAATGTGCACAGATCAAACACTAGGGCGGTCACTTTTGTGAAAAAATCCTGTTCGGAAAAAAAGTGTTCATTGAATCGATTGTAAAATCCATTTTCCATCTAAAGACGTTTCCATTTTCATCACCAAATACAGGCAAATCCACGGACACCTAACAGGCATTAGGACGAGCGTAAAAAGGGCGCTTGAGACGCACAAGTCAGCAATATTCCTGATGATTTATTGGTGTGAAGTTTCGTGCTCAATGACAAACAGGAGCGCAACATTCAGGGATTGAGATTAACACCTCGACCCGCCAAATGCGGGTACAAATGAACTTTGGCGGGAAACGCTGTCAAATCACGAGCCAATCTGGCGTTTCTGTGTTTACTCACTTTGCTGGGGAAGTTTGTGTAAGACAAATCTGCGCGGATTTAGCGCAAATACGCAACTCGTGATCCTCATGATATATTAAATACAGCGTATTGCAGAATCTGTGCATTTCTGGCTTACTTGAACACACACACACACACACACACACACACACGTCACTACGCAACAGATAACGGCGCGCTTGTTCACTTGCACTGAAGTAATAGCGAATATTAAAAAGCATTTGGTGAACAGAAAAGACATTGTTATTGTCCAGCATCCCACATGTTCTGTGTGCTGTATTGATCTGTCCACCTAAAACACATTTTTGGTAAAAAATGACAGCCCTACCAAACACTCCACCAAACTACACTTTGATCAGACACATGCAGGAATTCTTGCTACTTTTTGTTACATCAGTGTGTCTGCAGCCACACACTCACACAACTATAGGCCTTTATCACACCTCAGATAGTGGCGTAAAATAACTTCTGTTGTAACTTGTATCAATGCAGTGGACATTGTTATGATTTATTGACAGATTGTCAACACACCAACCTCATTAATCAGGAATGATGAAGCAGAAAGTGTCATTTTGTCATTCTGACGCATGTTTCATCATCAGAAGGTGAAACACACAAGCCATCTGTATGTGTATGGGCAATACTTCACCGTCTGACCACTTTTTTTGTGAAAGAAACGCAAATACAAACAACATATCACATTAAAGAGCATTAGAATTAGACAAGGTTATACATCACATTACGAGTAAAGGCTGCATAAATGAAACAATAATAACGTACTTTCATGCACTTGCTTTACTTTCCCATTTAGTCTCTAGGTATTAGATCAAATTCAAATAAAGGAATATAAAATAGAGTCATGTGCTCCGTGTTTGAATGTAGTGATTGGATAGCATTATATTGCAGATGAAATTGGAGTTTAATCATAACAGACATCACGCAACAATCACAATACACCATTTTAATATAATAAATTGTTTTGTTATTTTTCTGCCGTTAACTTAACTAAGGTTTGGACAACTTTATTTATAACTTTATTAATGCACTTTGTGTTCTCAGGGTGACATCACATCCATTCCTGAACTGGCCGACCATGTAAAAGTCTTCAAGTGAGTTGAAATTTTTGTATTATTATTTGTTTTTGTTTTTGGGGTCTCGTATGCCTTTATTAGTGTAAAGCAAGAACAATAAAACAAGGCCTGTTGCCATATTTAGCATATAGACTGTCTATAAACATGAGTCTGTTTAAGTGTAAATTGTGTCATTTCCACAACACTATTGGCAACTAAATGAATTCCAGTGTGATTGTTATAGTGGTCCAAATGTGTCTGATGTGACATAATATTGGCTCAAACAGTGTTGTGAGTGGACCAGACCTGTTTGACTGACCAATGGTAGGCAAAGAGAAGTGTTTGAAACGCTAGTGGCAAAGAAATTACACACTGCAGCTTTTTATAATATTCTTGTATTTTGTTGAAGGACACGCTTTTATTTTAGTTTTGTTTTTTACTCGAATGGTCTTTGTTTTAAAGAGAAACTTGTCCAAGAGCTGATCTTTTCTTTCAACAGAAGAGAATAACCTCTCACCGAAGTCATTCCCCTTTGATTTTTGACTAACTTTTGCTTATACCTCAGACCAAAGAAACTCACTCTGAAAGGATACAAGCAGTACTGGTGCACGTTCAAGGACATCACGATCTCCTGCTATAAGAGCCGCGAGGAGGCGCACGGCACGCCAGCGCTCCAGATGAACCTGAGAGGTGAACCCCACACACACACACACACACATGATGCGCCGTTAGAAAGCATGTTTGCCACTCATGCACTGTTTCTCATCCGCTGTTTCTCTGTAGGCTGTGAAGTCACACCAGATGTGAACATCTCTGCTCAGAAATTCAACATCAAGTTGCTAATTCCTGTAGCAGATGGTATGAATGAGATCTGGCTGCGGTGTGATATTGTGAGTGAGATGCTTTTCTATTGAATGCCATACATTATTGTACAGTAAATCACCTCACATCTTCACTTGTCTTTAAAAAGTAATACATTGCTTTTACTTGCTACTATTTATGCAAAATGTGACCCGACCCCAGCAACCCTAAGCAGGGTTTCAATCAATCTAAAGCCATTAACAAACATTTGCTTTAGTTGAAATATGAAAAACTTTAACTGAAATAACATAAAACATAAAAAAACAAACTTAAAACGTATTTTATTTCGGCTAGTCGCCTTAAGGCTGCAATACACTACAGATTTGTGCCCTGATTTGCAGTCTGGATGAGTCAAAAATAGTTGCCGAATATCTGTCAGTCTGCAGATTTTTGGTCAGTCGAAGTTGACAGATTTCACAAAAAATCGCATGGTGTGTGATGAGCACAGACTCAAACCAGTTGGAGGATATCAAAACATGCTTGATATGTTACGTGTGTACCATAGTGTACGACATAGGGCTGGGCGATAAACTATATCATATCGAGATCACGATTAAAATTTAGGTCGATAACGATGATAAGCTGTGGACATTTTCTACTCTACATGGATTAATCTAACAGCCTATCACACAGCAGAAATAAGCGCGACAACAGCCGGTCAGTGCATGACGCTAATAAGTGATTTCTGCGTGTCTCTGTGGAAGAACGACGCGGTTTCGTCTGATACTCAAACTCACACACGCGTGTGACGCTCACTGTGCTCTCAGCGTCTCAATATATGAGGACATGAACTCCCTCTCCAGAGCTGCTCAGAGAGTCACTCAGAGATGCCCAGTTTTGGATGAGATGCCATTTACAAAGTTGGCAAGTGTATGATGCCTAGTGTTTTAAAATCTGTTCAGACTTAAAAATCGTATTGTGTATTCCAGCCTTAAGTAACATTTCTCATTTTCATTTAGTCTAACTTTACTTTTAGTTTTTATTTTAGCTTTATTAATATTTTGAATTAGCTTTTATTTTTATATTTGTAGATTTCATGTTCATTTAGTTTTAATTTTTTGTAATTTCGTTATTCGTTGCTATTTAGGTTATTTTAGTTTCATTTAAGTTTTTATTTATTTCCAGTTAATAATTTTAGTGCTTCAACTTGAACTTATTTCAGTTTATTGCTAAGGCAACATTTCTACTTTTCATTTAGTTTTACAAATATTGTTTTATTTTATTTCAGCTTTATTTCAATTAACAGAAACATTTTAATAGTTTTTTTTCATGATAAATACCCTTAACCTGGCCCTAGCCAGATGAATTTCGCTCCGCCTAGCTTCACTCATCCATCTGGAACCGATCCATTGAAATGGCGTTTCAGAAGGCTCGGCCTTATCAAAAATCCTTGCATATGATTGGATAAGCCACTTGTCTGTCATCTTTATCGACGTGCTATTTCAACCACTCACACTACCAGAGGAGCCATTTGGTAGATCAAGCTCTTGCCAAATCCGGTCGGGAGAAGGGCGAAAATATCGTTTCCACCAACAAAAGCCTTAAGAGCCGTTCTCTGATGTTCTTTTAATGAAACAATATTAGGTAGATTGGACAACACGGATGAAATCAATGTTAACAGCATCAATGTTAACGCTTGTTTCCTCGATGCGAGCCGCCATTGTTGTCTGAATCAAAACAGTCTCACGGTCGCTTCTCCACTACGTCACATCTATGAAACTCCCGCCCTGCGTCCTGATTGGCTAAACCATAAAGTTGGTTGGAGAAATCACTCTCAATGGAAGAGGTTCCAGATGGATGTGAGTGAAGCTAGGCGGAGCGATATTCATCTGGCTAGGACCAGGTTAAAATACCCTATCTTGATGTACTAAAATAACTCAAACTGAAATAAAAATGAATAAACTATATATACATTTTTTTTAAACAGTAACTACTAAAAATTACAAAAACACATCAATGTTATTAAAACTTTAACTAAAATAAAAAGAGAGAATACAAAAATAAAAACTAATTCAAATATTAAAGTCCCCCTGTAGTCAATAATGGTATCCCTTAAAGCTCATCTTTAATCACCAAAATGACATATTTAAAAGTTTTTTTCCTTGAAAAAAATTTCTTCATGTCTTAAAATATCTTGAGTGTAACTCGACACCCTTGCCTCATTTAGTATACGCGGTTCTATGAATATGCAAATGAGCCCCGCCTCCACTCACTCACTCAGCTCAGAGATCCACTGGTTGACGATCACACGTTGATCTGATTGGTTACAAGGTCGTTTGTGACGTCAGAAACACCAGCGATTTCAAACCGTGTTTTTGAGACTGTCTTTGGTTCACTGCAGTTTTAAGCAGAAAATACTCAGCAATGCTGTCGACTTATGAATTTACACATGGTGTGTCTTAAAGCATATTAAAAACACCACATAAACATAAAAAAATTTTCCGCTGTGGTCTCTCTGCCCGTCTCTCAGGAGAAGCAGTACGCTCAGTGGATGGCAGCGTGTCGTTTGGCCTCTAAGGGGAAGACGATGGCTGATAGTTCCTACAACCTGGAGGTCCAGAACATCCTGTCCTTCCTGAAGATGCAGCACATGAATCCGGATCCTCAGATCATAGAGCCCATCACCACCGACATCAACCCTGAGTGTCTGGTGTCTCCACGATACCTGAAGAAATACAAGAACAAGCAGGTAAATAAGAGGCTGAGGCTTCGAGAGAGATCGCCCTGCCACTGCAGTGCAGAACACACACAGAAAACTAAAGGCAGACAGTACATAGCGACACATAATAGGGGTGTAACGCTACATGTATTCGTCCCGAACCGTCGGTGCACACAGTCAGACGACGTATACAGTCACAGGTGATCCACTCTCCAGTCCAGAAGGGGGTGCACGCTAATGCAACAGCAGGAAAAAGAGCAGAAGAAGTAGAGATAATCCATTCCCAAACCCAAAACAAGAGCTTGCTAGTAGCCTATAGAGCTGGTAAGTCCCGCCCATCTGTAAAACTCCAAGTGGACCTCTAGGTTGAAAAAGCGTCAATGCAAGTGAATGAGAGAAAATAATTGTTTTCTGATCCCATTTGAATTGTGCCATGAATGTGAACATATGTTGTCTGTGAATTTTTTATATCATTTCTCATGTAACGAGTTTGACAGTATATTGTATGATTCCTTGGCTAGCAGTTGTGGAATAGACATAACGAGAAAGACTACACGTCGCATATGTGACGTCACCGCATAACACATTTTCCCTCCACAAATCACGGTGCGATAATCTAAGGAGTTAGATCGAGATGCCTGTGTGTTTTGTACCCAAATGTCACCATTCAAACAAAGGCATGTTTAGCGGGATCCGTGTGCTAGTGGTGGTGACGTATATCAAACGCATCGAAAACAGCGAAGAGTTGTAGTCCACAAAGTGCTCTCACACAAAGTCTAACCGTATGAAGATTTTACCCGCGGAATTGTAGCATTTCAAGATACACATTTACATTCTTATCGGTTTTTGCTTTCCCTGGGAATCGAACCCATGACCGTAGCGTTGCAAGCCAAGCTCTACTGTTTGAGCTACATAAGGCTCCACACGAATCATGACTTCTGTGTACCGTTACACCCCTAATACATAGTAATAAACAGCAGTATATTAAATATTAAATATATCACTGAGCCCTAAATGGAAATGGTAATTTTTTTTACACAAATGAAATCAAAATAGTCAAATTGTTCTAAATGTATGCGCTAAACACGTCAATTTTGCATTGGTGAAATTTTTCAAAATAATGTTTTTTGGTTATACTTGATTGAAAAACAAGAGAAAAGTGTAAGTATGCAGGGAGGGAGTGTGTGTGTGGGAGTCCTCAGACTGTGTGCTCCTGTGTGCCGCTGGTGTCGTCTTACAGTGGCCCTGGACTCAATCCAGCCCCTGTGATGCTGGGGGAGGGTGGGCTTCCCGTCCTCTTCTCACTCGCTCCCCCACCGGCGGAAAGCTGCGAGAAAGTTTGAGGAGTCGGGGTGGGGTCTTCAGAAACAGGCGGGAAGGACATACAGGAAACAAGCCATGCCTGGGAATGTGGAGAGGAGGGAGTCTGGGAAGAAGAGTGCAATGTGATCGCGAGTTCAGATGTCTCCTGAACACTGAACACAAGCTCCAATTCTTTTCTTCAAAGGCTTCCTCTGGGATTTCACTCCCAGATCACGTGGGATAGAAAGCACTTGCTTTTGGAAACGAGGATTGATGACTTTCTCACTTCCCGACTTGTTTAACTTGTCAAGACCAACAAAGCGGATGTAGTCATCCAAATGGTGGGGAATTTCAGAGGTCTCTCCAGCAGTATTGGGTTTTAAGTGTGTGTGTGTGTGGCGCCGCCTTGTGGGCTCAAGGGTGTGTGGTTTGATGTGGGATGAGAATTGTTCAGGTTAATCATAAACTACAGCTCAGCCATGAACCTTGGACCCCTTTTATATCTTTAAAATCCCGTTTCTAGACTTTTAAAAGTGAATCGATTTTTATTTCTTTATATTTCATTATTTGTTTTATGTCTTTAGTTTATATTTTTTTATTTAGAGCTTAAAGAACAAACCAAGAGATATACAAACTAGGAGAGTGAAGCTTGATGACAAAATTTGATGTTGGCTTGACCAAGCTTTTAAAAGTTATCTGAAACTTTCAAACAAGGCTTTAAGGTTTTACTCAGAGAAAGTCAGATAGACCAAAACAAACTCAATAAAATAATACCATATTAGACTACTTTAGACACCATTGGACTGCTAAGAAACCTCTTTAAAAAAAAAAAAAAAAAAACATTAGACCTCTAAAAAGTGCCTTTTTTTTTACTAATGAAAGTTCATGGAAATTTGGGCCTGTTTCGAAAGTCAGATCTGTTAGAAAAGATGTATTGTCAAGCCAACATAATAAACCATAAGATGAACCAGTCTTACATTAGTGCAAAAACAGCTTAAACTGAGTTTTTCCATTATAATCAGTAAAGATGAATCTACACTAGGATCGCCCAGCCACCACAGAGTTTGTAGAGTAGACTAGTCTTCTGCTTGGTTCAGGGGTATAGCAGGATCTCTCATCATAATATGTTAGTTGTCATATTTCTGTCATATATACTATGGTCAATCCGCCTGGACCTAATGTGTTCCTCTGCTCTCTCCTGCCTAAAGTGAACCTCTCCTGCTGTATACTGATTATGTGCACCCTGCCCTCTTCTCTCTCTGTGCATTAACGGTTGTTTTGATTCTGTTATTCTGCTTGTTTGCTGCATTGTTCATTTATTTGCTTTTCCCTTGTTTCCTCTCTGTGTCCCTCCTCCTGTTTCCACCCTCCTCAGCCTGGCTTTGTCAGGGACTTGGTAAGTCACTCGTTTGACAGCTGGTAAATGTCCGTGACTCACTAACACTGGTGCTGTGTCTTATTTCAGTAATCCTTCTATTAACCACTTTACCATTTATTGCTGTAGCTCAAACTCAAAAGCTCGCATTTAACGTTTTTTAAATTATTATTGTTTTGAGTCACTGGTGTCTCCCCATGAACAGCTGTTTGCCTGAATGATGTTGAGTGAATGAATGCTGTAAACACTCAAATAATGTTTTAGCGCTCATTTCATGGATATTTTAGAAATATTCTAATGAATATAGAAGCAACTTGTAGTCTCATGACTTTGAGGCTTATGATGTCAGATTAGACTGTAAAACTGTCAGCCTTGTTGTTGTTTTTTATCATTTCAAGCATGATTATATCCCTAAATATAATCATATTGTTATTATCATTATTATTACAATTATTGTTTTGTGATATTTATTTGGATGACACAATGCCTTTTCCTGCAGCTCCTAAAAGGACATGGTGACGGTAAAAAAAGAGATGGGATGAAAATTATACGAAAATCTTTTGTGATAGAACGCAAAGTTTCTTGGGGATACGCAATAGTTTTGCGTGAGAATGTAAAGTTTCTTGGGGATACGCAATAGTTTTGCGTTAGAATGTAAAGTTTCTTGGGGAAACGCAATAGTTTTGCGTGAGAATGTAAAGTTTCTTGGGGATACGCAATAGTTTTGCGTGAGAATGGAAAGTTTCTTGGGGATACGCAATAGTTTTGCGTGAGAATGTAAAGTTTCTTGGGGATACGCAATAGTTTTGCGTTAGAATGTAAAGTTTCTTGGGGAAACGCAATAGTTTTGCGTGAGAATGTAAAGTTTCTTGGGGAAACGCAATAGTTTTGCGTGAGAATGTAAAGTTTCTTGGGGATACGCAATAGTTTTGCGTTAGAATGTAAAGTTTCTTGGGGAAACGCAATAGTTTTGCGTGAGAATGTAAAGTTTCTTGGGGATACGCAATAGTTTTGCGTTAGAATGTAAAGTTTCTTGGGGAAACGCAATAGTTTTGCGTTAGAATGTAAAGTTTCTTGGGGATAGGCAATAATTTTGCGTTAGAATGTAAAGTTTCTTGGGGAAACGCAATAGTTTTGCGTTAGAATGTAAAGTTTCTTGGGGATACGCAATAGTTTTGCGTTAGAATGTAACGTTTCTTGGGGAAACGCAATAGTTTTGCGTGAGAATGTAAAGTTTCTTGGGGATACGCAATAGTTTTGCGTTAGAATGTAAAGTTTCTTGGGGGAACGCAATACTTTTGCGTGACAATGTAAAGTTTCTTGGGGAAACGCAATAGTTTTGCGTGACAATGGGGATACGCAATAGTTTTGCGTTAGAATGTAAAGTTTCTTGGGGAAATGCAATAGTTTTGCGTTAGAATGTAAAGTTTCTTGGGGGAACGAAATACTTTTGCGTGACAATGTAAAGTTTCTTGGGGAGACGCAATAGTTTCACGAGCGAATGTAAAGTTTATTGGGGAAACGAAATAGTTTTGCATTAGAATGTAAAGTTTCTTGGGGGGACGAAATACTTTTGCGTGACAATGTAAAGTTTCTTGGGGAAACGCAATAGTTTCACGAGCGAATGTAAAGTTTCTTGGGGATACGCAATAGTTTTGCGTGAGAATGTAAAGTTTCTTGGGGAAACGCAATAGTTTTGCGTGAGAATGTAAAGTTTCTTGGGGATACGCAATAGTTTTGCGTTAGAATGTAAAGTTTCTTGGGGAAACGCAATAGTTTTGCGTGAGAATGTAAAGTTTCTTGGGGATACGCAATAGTTTTGCATTAGAATGTAAAGTTTCTTGGGGAAACGCAATAGTTTTGCGTTAGAATGTAAAGTTTCTTGGGGATAGGCAATAATTTTGCGTTAGAATGTAAAGTTTCTTGGGGAAACGCAATAGTTTTGCGTTAGAATGTAAAGTTTCTTGGGGATACGCAATAGTTTTGCGTTAGAATGTAACGTTTCTTGGGGAAACGCAATAGTTTTGCGTGAGAATGTAAAGTTTCTTGGGGATACGCAATAGTTTTGCGTTAGAATGTAAAGTTTCTTGGGGGAACGCAATACTTTTGCGTGACAATGTAAAGTTTCTTGGGGAAACGCAATAGTTTTGCGTGACAATGGGGATACGCAATAGTTTTGCGTTAGAATGTAAAGTTTCTTGGGGAAACGCAATAGTTTTGCGTTAGAATGTAAAGTTTCTTGGGGGAACGAAATACTTTTGCGTGACAATGTAAAGTTTCTTGGGGAGACGCAATAGTTTCACGAGCGAATGTAAAGTTTATTGGGGAAACGAAATAGTTTTGCGTTAGAATGTAAAGTTTCTTGGGGGGACGAAATACTTTTGCGTGACAATGTAAAGTTTCTTGGGGAAACGCAATAGTTTCACGAGCGAATGTAAAGTTTCTTGGGGATACGCAATAGTTTTGCGTGAGAATGTAAAGTTTCTTGGGGAAACGCAATAGTTTTGCGTGAGAATGTAAAGTTTCTTGGGGATACGCAATAGTTTTGCGTTAGAATGTAAAGTTTCTTGGGGATACGCAATAGTTTTGCGTGAGAATGTAAAGTTGCTTGGGGATACGCAATAGTTTTGCGTGAGAATGTAAAGTTTCTTGGGGATACGCAATAGTTTTGCGTTAGAATGTAAAGTTTCTTGGGGAAACGCAATATTTTTTCGTTAGAATGTAAAGTTTCTTGGGGAAACGCAATAGTTTTGCGTGAGAATGTAAAGTTGCTTGGGGAAACGCAATAGTTTTGCATGAGAATGTAAAGTTTCTTGGGGATACGCAATAGTTTTGCGTGAGAATGTAAAGTTTCTTGGGGAAACGCAATAGTTTTGCGTGAGAATGTAAAGTTTCTTGGGGATACGCAATAGTTTTGCATGAGAATGTAAAGTTTCTTGGGGATACGCAATAGTTTTGCATGAGAATGTAAAGTTTCTTGGGGAAACGCAATAGTTTTGCGTGAGAATGTAAAGTTTCTTGGGGAAACGCAATAGTTTTGCGTGAGAATGTAAAGTTTCTTGGGGATACGCAATAGTTTTGCGTTAGAATGTAAAGTTTCTTGGGGAAACGCAATAGTTTTGCGTGAGAATGTAAAGTTTCTTGGGGATACGCAATAGTTTTGCGTGAGAATGTAAAGTTTCTTGGGGAAACGCAATAGTTTTGCGTTAGAATGTAAAGTTTCTTGGGGAAACGCAATAGTTTTGCGTGAGAATATAAAGTTTCTTGGGGATACGCAATAGTTTTGCGTTAGAATGTAAAGTTTCTTGGGGAAACGCAATAGTTTTGCGTTAGAATGTAAAGTTTCTTGGGGATACGCAATAGTTTTGCGTGAGAATGTAAAGTTTCTTGGGGATACGCAATAGTTTTGCGTTAGAATGTAAAGTTTCTTGGGGAAACGCAATAGTTTTGCGTGAGAATATAAAGTTTCTTGGGGATACGCAATAGTTTTGCGTTAGAATGTAAAGTTTCTTGGGGAAACGCAATAGTTTTGCGTTAGAATGTAAAGTTTCTTGGGGATACGCAATAGTTTTGCGTGAGAATGTAAAGTTTCTTGGGGAAACGCAATAGTTTTGCGTTAGAATGTAAAGTTTCTTGGGGAAACGCAATAGTTTTGCGTGAGAATATAAAGTTTCTTGGGGATACGCAATAGTTTTGCGTTAGAATGTAAAGTTTCTTGGGGAAACGCAATAGTTTTGCGTTAGAATGTAAAGTTTCTTGGGGATACGCAATAGTTTTGCGTTAGAATGTAAAGTTTCTTGGGGATACGCAATAGTTTTGCGTTAGAATGTAAAGTTTCTTGGGGATACGCAATAGTTTTGCGTTAGAATGTAAAGTTTCTTGGGGAAACGCAATAGTTTCGCGTTGGGGAAACGCAATAGTTTTGCGAGCGAATGCAAAGGTTTCTTCCCATCTCATTTTTATTTTCCATCAAAATGTTCCCATTGGGGATCCATAATTTTCACTGTAATCAACAAATTATTTGTCTAATAGGATGTTTAAAATATATTTTTTTTGAAAGGGGCCTCTGTGTAATTGAAAGACCCTTTTAGGCAGTGTTTTAGCATGTCAGCTGATCTGCAGCTGATAGAAGCTTTTATGAAGCAAGTCATCGATCAGTGGGAGGCTCCAGTGACATCACTCATTTCTTTATGTGAAAATGTTTCATGCTCTGGGAAAATAGGGACTAAACAATGGTAGCTGGGATCGCAATGGCTTCTGTGTATGCATGTTAAGTCGCATGTATAACAGATCATAACGGTTGCTTGAACAAGAGGAGGCGTCTTATGTTCACAGTGATATTAATGGTGATTGGATACAGCAGTTTCATATTAAAGTGTCTGGTGTTGCATTCTTCTCTGGGGTTGTTTCCTAACGACCGTGTCTGTGTGCTCACTCTGTACTTCTGCTTAAGTTATGATTGCTTGTAGCACTTGTTTATTAATGTTCACATATGCATTATCCTCAGATTTCCGCCCGTATTCTGGAAGCTCATCAGAACGTGGCCCAGATGAGCCTCATTGAGGCCAAGATGCGCTTCATACAGGCATGGCAGTCCTTGCCAGAGTTTGGAATGACCCATTTTCTTGCCAAGTAAGTATCTTCTAGAAAACCCGATGTTTCTGTCTTGATTAAATGATTGTCGGCCAATAACAACATAATTCCTCGTTGAAGAGATATTTGTCTGTTAGAAATTTGGTCTCAGAAGAAGAAAATGTCTGGTTCTTTCATCTTTTTCTTACTTTTACTTTTAATTTCTCTATATTTCTGTTGTTAATTGTTAAATTGCATCAAATTAGGTTTCAGGGTGGCAAGAAAGATGAGCTGATTGGCATCACCTACAACAGACTGATCCGTATGGACGCCAGCACAGGAGACGCCATCAAGACCTGGCGCTTCAGCAACATGAAACAGTGGAACGTCAACTGGGAGATTAAGATGGTAAGATGCTCTTTATGTTACACCTTCATCCCACGATGTCATTGAGCACGTTTACATGAACACCAATAGATGCACCGATGTGAAAATTGTGGCCGATAACCGATATTAATATTGCGGTTATGGCCGATAGCGATATTTACCGATGTCGATATCTCTGTATAGAAAACACATAGCGAGGATTAGAACTGCACGATATTGGTAAAAAAAAATGACATTGCGATATTTTATTTTTCTGCGATGTAAAAACAATTTCACCAGATGACTTGAATAGCTCTATTTGGAAAGAATGAATCATTCTAGAATGACTGGGGTGGTTTTGTCATGGAGTAAATCCGCATAGAAACTAATATTAATAGAATGTTAACTAATGTAGTTAACTAGACTTTAATAAATGGAACCTTATTGTAAAGTGTTTATGTCTCTTGAGTTCAGTGTTGGACAGATCAGCTGTTTTAACCATTCATTAAAGTGAATCGGTTCAAAGGAGTCATTAGTTCGCGAATCGGACGTGTCATTAACGGACCACGGCACACGTTGTGTGATTATCCAGGCAGTTTAGGACATCGCACAAGATTTGTCTCAACACAGAAAACATTTCATCACTAGATGATCATCATCACTGAAAGTGTGGTTTGTCATCTGAATGTGTGGAAAGCTTTTCAGAGGAGATAAGGCAACATTATTTTAGCACAATTCACAACCAGTGGTAGTTCAGAAAAAAAATCTTCAGTCTTCCGACCTTTTACCATCGTGTGTTCACAAAGATATTCAGTCAACTCAATTGATTAATATGCGCGAGGGAGAGAGAGCAAGACAGTGAAGACGGTGAGAGTGCGCGCGAGAGTTTCACTCTCTCTGCTATTTCACTCTTTCTCTGTTAAACAAGCGCAGCAGTCACTCATCTACATCACTCATCTACATCACTCATCTACATCACTCACCGGTCAAATAAGGCTTTGGCGGGACAAAAATACGCCTTAGTGAGGCTGACAGAAAACAGCGCGCAAGTTCCAGTCTTCTTGCACTTGATGTTTAAACTAGGGCTGTTTTCGACTAAGGATTTTCATAGTCGAATCTGATTCGTTAGATTTTGCCGTAGTCGACTGATAGTCAAACTTTTTTCTTTTTTTTTTTTTTTGATAGCAGCCAGACGTTCGGTTGAATAACTGTTCGTCTGTTATAGGACAACTCGCTTTACGTTTATTTAAAATGAACAGCAAGACAACTAGAAGTGAATGTGCTTTCCATTAAATTAATCCTTAACAAAAAAAAACAAAAAAAACGTTGCAATGAACGTGCTTTGCTTTTAAATAAATCACACACAGTAAACAAAACCTTAACAAAAAAACTTTGCAATGAACTTTGCAATTTAGACGCGCAAACTGCGTGCCGGTGCGGTGATACGTAGCCTACATGCTCGGGCAGATTCGGCTTGAAGTCGTTCATCCTCGGATGCGGCGCCGCGCGCGCTGTTACAAAAAAAGCCGTGCACACAGCCAAGCCAAATGGGGTCTTACCGGTCTTGCGCACCCAACGCGTCATTTTGCCACGCGCACCTTCGCGCTTGTGCGGACGCGTCGAGTTTAAACAAGACTTTACTCCGTGTCAGCGCGCGCTCTGATCGGTAAAGGAGCACAGACCTCTCCCGAATCATCTCCAGCAGTAGCAGCCTCTGAAGCACCACTAACTCCGCCTCCGTTGAGATGATATATTCCTTGTAAGATGATATATTAGTATTTAAACATTCTCTATGATAAAAAATGTTTGTAAAAAATACTGTTTTTGGTTTTGCCGGTTATAGAGTTCTAATGACGGTGTTCAACTATAACCGTCGGTCTCACGGTTATATAATAACAGTCACACCCCTATTGGTTACAAAACACTTCCCTACTATTCGACTATGAGGTTCACAGTCGAATCAGACCTCTCCGAATCGAATCGTCGAATCCTTGAATATTAGAAGTCAGCCCTAGTTTAAACTGACAGGACTTGCGCTCATAATGTATGCGCTCGTGCAAAAACAAACATCCCCGCCCCCGCACTCACATCTACACACACGTTAAATACACATTAATGATTATCGGCCTGTTCACATCGGACCTATTTTGACATCGGAACGATACCGATGTGTAAAATTTTTTATTATTTTTTATTTTTTATATTATATCGGCGGCCGATATATCGTTCACCACTAAATACGCTGATAACTACCAAAAATCAGTTTATTGAAATAACCAGATTTACCGGTTTACATGCAAATCAAAAACCCAGCAATGCAAGTAATCGCGTTTACAAGACTGTATTAAAAAATTAGGGTTAGTTCACCCAAAAAATACTACCCAATTAATTATTCGCCCATTAATCATTAATTACTCGCCCTCATGTCCAGAGCCGACCCTGACTTAATTCTGTTTAGGGTCCCTCCTACCTGACCAGTGAGCCATGGAAACCATTTGCCATCGCCACACAGTCACACCGTCACACCGGACACCCTTTAAAGTAAAAATTCCTCATATTAGAAATAGTCATTGTTACTAGTAAAAAGTTCATTCAAGAATTCACATTTTAAATAATAAAAATGTAATTATTGATATCAAAAATGCATCCTGTGAATGAATAAAAGCTAAAATTGCTCGTCATAGCATGTCACTGTGTTTTAAATGATAAAAGCAATTCTTGATACTTGATGGTTATTATTTACTGAGGGAAGTGCATCCATATTGACCAGTATGCCCAGCCAATCAACATTTTAAATTCAATATAGCCTAGAAATCAATAGTCAATGTCAATACACATCTTACATTTATTTGTATAGCGCTTTTTACAATACACATCGTTTCAAAGCAGCTTCACAGAAAATGCACGAGTCCACTTCACAATTTAGAGTCTGTTATCAGAGGAAACTGTCTAAGTTATGCATTTCAGGAATGTACATATACAAATCACAGCTAGCTAAAAATATATTAATTGAAACAATGTAATAATTTAAGGCAGAAACAACGAGCTCATTCAAGTAATGAATACATGTTTGTTAACAAATGATTATGAAATTTAGAAAAAATGTAGACAGTTTTGATCATGTTGTTCATTTAGAGGCCTTCAGTGAGGATAGGAGTAGGCTTCACTCAATGTATATACTGATGGATTTTAAGAGTGCTGGCCTAAAAATATAACATATAAAATGGAAAAGAGGCCGCACTATGCATATAATGTTTATTTTTGCACAGACGCGTTTCGGCGTGGGCCTTCTTCTGTGCAAAAATAAACAATATATGCATAGTGCGGCCTCTTTTCCATTTTATTTTTATTTAGAGGCCTTGAAATTAGTTTATCAGAGGGTTAACATCCAAAACACGACACACACTTCCCCTTGAGTCTAAGATCAGTGTTGTTTTTTAATCAACATGCACCAATGCTACATTTTTCTAAATGTCATAATCATTTGTTAACAAACAAGTATTCATTACTTCAAAGAGCTCTTTGTTTCTACATCAATTATTACATTGTTTCAATTCATACATTTTTCGCAAACTGTGATTTTATATTTGTACATTTCTGAAATGCATAACTTACACAGTTTCCTCTGAGAACTGTAAAGTGGACTCGTGCATGTTCTGTGAAGCGATGTGAACAAATACAGATAAATGTGAAGTTTTTCTGCTGTGTTCTCCCGTCAGGTGACGGTGGAGTTTGCGGACGAGCCCAGTCTGGCCTTCATCTGTGCCGAGGTGGACTGTAAAGTGGTGCACGAGTTCATCGGCGGATACATCTTCCTCTCCACGCGTGCCAAAGACCAGAACGAGTCTCTGGACGAGGAGATGTTCTACAAGCTGACCAGCGGCTGGGTCTGAGAGTCGCTCGCACGCCTCACTCCGTCTCCTTTAACAGCGCCGGCGGGGCCACAGCGTAATCGTTTGCAAACCGAAACTTTCCTTTTTTATCATTTCCGTTCATAACACTAGCAGAAGTCCGTGGAGAACCCGCTGCTTCCCTGTCGAGATGAAGCCTTCACATAGCCATGACCTTTCACCCCTGAATAGAAATATGCCCATTATTTATTTGTCACTAATTTACGTTGCACCTCTCCGGGTAATTGTTGAATGTTGCCGTGCGTGTTCATCTTTGATGATAGTTGTGTCACATTAATGTGATGTTATCGAGACACTAGAGAGGGATCCGCTGCGCTAGCTTTAATGTCGCTGCTTCTGAACGCTGAATCCACTCGAGTTGCTCATTTCTAAGCACTTCTAGCGTGAGGTGAGAGTCTCTGCATCCATAAGCTGAAGTTTGAACAGTACATTTAACGACAGATATTTTTTTACACTACGAAGAAGGAGAGTCGCCCACTTTTTTTTGTAGCAAACATAGGAGAAAATTATGAATCTGCTTTTGAAGCTCGTTGATTTCCCACCGTTGGAAGTTTCTTTTTATTATTATTATTATTTTCCTGTTATTTTATTCATCACTCTTTATTGTGAACCAGTATAGTATTATTCAAAAGTATTTCTTTAATACCCACCAGCCGATAGGTCACAAACCATGCGATTTTCCTTTTTTCTTCTTCTTTTATTTCTTTCCAAAATGAAGGATTGTTAAATGAAGTATTAGATTTGTTTTGTATCTAATGTATAAAAAAAAAAGAAACAGGTTTTAAAAAAGAAATTGTACAGTTATTTTTTTGCTGCTTTTTTCTGTCATTTTTTGGAAGTGTATTTTTTTCCAGAAGAGAGGGGAAAAAGCCATTTTTTGAGGATTGGTGGTGCCTGTCGATATTAAGGACTCTTAGAAAAAAAATATATATATAAGTGCATATGAAGAAGTGGAAAAAGTCTCAAGCTCCTGGCTGGAATAAAATCATGTAGATTAAGCCATTCTTTACGTCTCTGGTGAGAAGGAGCGTTTGATGGGTTTTATTGAGTTGAACTGATAAATATCCACACTCGTTTATTCTGCTGCAAGAACACATAGCCTTCCTCAACACTAGCGAGCGCTCAGACACTAATGAAGGCCGGCAGAACCGCTCCACTTCTCGTCAGTATTTTCTCCTAATGTTTCCCCGTATGAAGGAGGTTTCACAGCCAGAAATGAAGGTTATTATTATTATTATGTGTTTGTTTATTTGGTTTTGTTTTCTCAGATGCCAGCAGTGCTTTGCATGGCCTGCTGTTTTTAAGATTGTAAAAATGCCATTTACCTGACAAATAAATAAATAAAATCATTTTTATTTAAACTCGTATGAGGATGATTCAGCAAGGCCTTTATTCCACGTGTTTTCCCCATCAGCCCTGCAGTGGCCCGTCTTCACCACAAGAGAGCAGTCCTCAAGTCTGCGATGGCTCGTGTGGCTCTGTAAATCTGGGGGCCCTAAGCAGGAAAGTTTTGGGGCCCTGCCTTGCAGTAAATAATGGAGTATTGCCGCCACAAACCAGCAACTGTATACAATCTAAACCCAATCTAACAAATCTTCAATAAAGTTGTTGCATATAGCCTACTCAAGTGCTGCTGGAGTCTCGATCTTTGAACTTCTTTTCCCTTTTCCACACTTTAAAAAGAGGGAGAAGTTGGACCAGTAATTTCTTTGCTTCCTTCTAAAGTGATTTAAACATTCTTCTTTTTTCTGCACCCGATGGATAAACTCGTTTCATTTTTGCAGTCAAATTTCCAAGTCCAGGGAAGACAACGATCTGACACGGTTGGTTGACTTAACGCTGCAGTGGTTCTCAAACTTTTTCGGTCATTCCCCACTTTGGACAAGGGGGTATTTTCAAGCCCCACTGCCCCCATCGCCCCAACACAATGCTAATAATACGCAACAAGCTTAAAATGTTCCAATTTATTGAAGTAACAAGTAGTATCTAAATACAAACTAACTATCTACGTCATCAAATAACATAACAGCAAGTTCAAAAATAAAGAAAATAAAAGTGCAGCTGCATGTGTCATAACTTGCATGGAATTCAAAAATAGAGAAAATAAAAGTGCAGTGGGGTCAAAATGTGTATCAAGTTCAAAAATAGAAAAGAAATAAAAGTGCCACTTCGCAATCTGTTAAAAAAAGAAAAGAAGAAAAATCCACTTGGCAAGACAGGTCTATTTAAAAAAAATTAAAATAGACATAACATAGGCTACTGTGTTTGATATGGGATTAAAATGATGGGCAGTGTATGAGATATAAACTAATGATTAATTATTTTAATATTGCTTTGTTCCGATCAGAGCATGTGAGCGGAGAGCGCATTTCTGTATACGGTACGCACAACCGGCGCTGCGTCATTGAATGTCTCTGAAAAGGTTCACGCCCACTTTTGGGCGAAATAAACTAGCCTTCCCATAGACTTCCATACAAAACAGCGTCACAAAACAACGTCCGTGCACAGCAGACAGGCGTGAATAACTTAAGAAATCACTAAGATTAAACATGTCAAGTAATTATATGTCCACCCTGTCTGCCATAGAGCATGAACGATACATCAACCAACTTAATTTGGTCAATTTAAAAACATGTCCCTTCATTCTCCCAGCCTCAAATTATTTATTTTAATAATTAATTATTTTACTGTCTATGGTAACAACCCCACCCAGTGGCCAGAGGTGTCTTTCCCGGACATTTACTCGTAGTCGTACCTCATCGAGTCACCATGGTAAGCAGTGAATGATTTTACTTCGTTTTTGAATGTAAGCATGTTTAAATGTATATATTATGTCTTATAATAATATACATTAGCCTATAATATATCTTATAATATATATAACCCCTTTGGGTGGGGTTGTTACATCAATTTGACGCTGGGAGAATAAAGGGACATGTTTTTAAATTGACCAAATTAAGTTTGTGTATGTATCTTTCAAGCTCTATGGCAGGCAGGGTGGACATATAATTACTTGACATGTTTTATATAATTGATTTCCTAAGTTATTTACGCCTGCCGGCTGTGTACGGACGTTGTTTTTTGCCGTTATTTTGTATTGAAGTCTATGGAAAGTCTAGTTTGTTTTCTCCCAAAAAGGGGCGGGGACGAAATTGACAGTTAAGTTCCCGGATGTGCCGGTTGTGCGTATTCCTCGGCTCGCTCATTCCGGCGCTCAGGGTCGCGCACTCAACCCTGCTGGTTCGAAAATATGTGGAATAAGAGCTGCCTCCGACTAAAGTTTTTTTTTCTAGTCGACTAGTAGTTGTTTATTTAAGCCATTAGTGGACAAATCGCCCCTTTATATTGATTTAATAACTTAAATAGGCTATACACGAGTGTTATAAAGCCGCACTCAAGCGCACGAACCGGCAAAAATAGGCTAATGATTATGAATGTGTAAAAAATAGTGTTATGTTCTGTGATTTATGTTCATGGACTGCAATACTGAACCAGTCCGCTAGGGGCGGAGAGACAGAATTGTATGTGGGGTTAAAAGTGAGAAAGAAGGAGAGTGAAGTAAAGTTTGGAAATGTTGTAAACAACTCGTCCTGTCTCCTTGTTTATTTTCTTTTCATTACAAGTCTAAACGTTACAAATTTTGGCGACGAGGATGTCCGCATCCGTACCCATGCCTGCATGTTTTCTTCCGACGGTAGGAGAGCCTGCTATACCGTTTTCTACATGGAAGAAAATTTTCCAAAACTACTTACTTATCATCGGAGCGCGAGGTGACGCATGGCCTGATGCTAGACTTCGTGCAGTTCTTTTACATTGTCTCGTGCGGAGGGCCAGAGACTTTTCTATACGCTGCCAAGCGGAGGTACAACTTATGATGAGGCCATGGTGGCACTTGATGCTCATTTCACGCCAAGAGTGAATGTTGTCGCTGCTCGACATAAATTCCGACAACGCGCACAGCACACAGATGAAACCGTAAGTCAATATATAGCGGAGTTACGTCATCTGGCGGTGGATTGTCAGTTCGGAGGAATGGAGGACGAAATGCTAAGGGACCAACTGATTGAACGGGTTTTTCTGGCCGCGGTGAGAGACAGATTGTTACTTGAGCCCGAACTTACATTGGAACGCGCTTCTGCGTTAGCGTTGCAAGTCGAATCGGCAGTACAAAATGCTACACTTCTTTCAACTACTGGTTCATCTCCTGCCCAGGTTCAAGCCATCTCGAGGACAAAGGCCAGTTTCAAAAGAGGTAAACAAAAGTATGAAAAAATGCCAGTACAAACTGGGAAGCCACAGACTTCAAATAAAAGACGCTGTTTTCGCTGTGGATCAAATACTCACTTGGCCAACGCACACACTTGTCCTGCTGCATCGGCCACATGTCATCAGTGTGGAAAGAAAGGACATTTTGCAAAGGTATGTAAATCTGCTGTTGTCAGAGAAGTGGTGGTGCCTGAACTGACTGTACTGTGGGTAAATCAGTCTCATGACAAAATTCGTTGCCAAGTACAGTTGGAAGCACCGCAAGGAAATAAAATACCACTTGAATTGATTGTTGATACAGGATCAAGTGTGTCCATCCTCCCAGAGACCCTGTTCATGAAACATTTTGCAAATTGTGAGCTGAAGGAACCTCAAGTGAGGTTAGTCACATACTCACGTGAACCCTTACCAACCTTAGGCTGTTTCACTGTTCCTGTGTCGCATGATGGTGTTGCAACCACTGCAAATTTCTATGTGGTCAAAACGGGCTCACCACTTTTGGGCATGGATTTAATTAAAGCCCTAAACTGTCACATTGTGGGAGATAGGATTGTCACATTATCGGACCCTGCTGGTTCACCAGTGCTAGAAATATGTAATACAGCAACCAGCTCACCAGGATGTGTCAAAGGATTCGTGCACAAAGTGCAGATTGATGAGTCTGTGAAACCAGTGCAGCACAAACTACGCAGATTACCGTTGAGTGTACGGGAGGAGGTTTCCAAGGAAATTAATCGCTTACTGAGAGACGGAATAATTGAAAAGATTGATGCTTCGCCATGGGTGTCAC